GTAATTAGTTAAGCTAAAGATCTAAACCCTTTGACGTTAACTACCGATCGCAGAGTTTTGCTCGTTAATATTCCTGCTGGGTTCCACCCGCTTGCCATTTACTTTGTCATACTTGTGCATTTATCTGTCTATCTGTCAGCCTGTCACTCTGTTGTCTGTCTCTGACTTACCGACTGACACACACACACACACACCACACACACACACACACACACACACACACACACACACACACACACACACACACACACACACACACACACAGACACACACACACACACACACTATCTCCGAGTTCAACCCACAATTCGATCATTTGTGGCCAACTGCATAACAAATTAAATGCGAAAAAATGTGTTGAATATAACGAGAAATTTCGCAGTCTGACCTTCAGGTCAGACTGCGAAATGTCCGGTCTGCTGCAGTGATGAAAACCTTTTGAGAAAATCTGTTGTACGGACTAAATACCTTATGTGCAGATCCAGTCCTTTTGTGGAGGTTTAGAATACCGTATTGTTTGTGTGACCCGTTGTCTCCAGAGGTTAGGTTAGGTTAGGTTAGGTTAGATACAATACCTAAATTCAGATTATAAGTTTCAAGTTTTTAAAGTTTTTTAAGTTTTTAAATTATAAGTTTTTAAATTATAAGTTTCATGTCGCACTTAAAAACACGAACACCACACAAAAGACAACACACGACTTGATAATGGTCCAGGACTGACCGAAACGTCGTCGCTACCTTTATTTTCAGATTTGTGGGCTGTGAGTTTAAATGTTATAGTTAAAGACATTAAATAAGAACACAAGAACATAGCAATGAAGGAAACCGCAGAAGACTTACTGCCCCATACGAGGCAGCTCCTATTTATATCCATCCAAACTCATTCATTCATATTATATATAACCTGAACAAATGCACATGATGAGGGTTCGAACCTACGCGCGGGATGTTCCCAGATGCGCCATAGTAAACTGTACCACGACATGGTCAAAAGAATTGCAGCCTGGAGTGCATGGTTCGAACCCTCATCACGGCCCTTGTGGATTTGTTCATTTGATAATTCACGTTATTGTGACTTCTGTGTGTATATTTAACCTATTCTTGAAACAATCATCGATCCCACGTCTGTTATGTATGCAAGTTGTTCCGTGAATTCACAACCCTTGCTCAACTGTGGAAAGGTTTAGCGACTCGGTGAGTGTGGCAGGTGTTGGGGGCAAAGCAAAGTGAGAAAATACACAGATTACGCAGGCGTTGAGTCACAATAACGTGGCTGAAGTATGTTGATCGATCCACACACTAGAAAATGAAGGGACGACAACGCTTCGGTCCGTCCTCGACCATTCTCACTCGACTTGAGAATGGTCCAGGACGGACCGAAACGTCGTCGTCTTTTCATTTTCTAGTGTGTGGATTGGTCAACATACACAGATTACAAATGATTAACGTTCAGTCACGAAACAAAACGACTCCCTACCTGCCTTATGATTACATTTTCTTGATTTACCTTTACCTAAGTAAAGACTTTGAGATGATCAGTATGAGGTATTTTTCAAGGTGGTGGTGAAAACAATAAGATTTTGTAAGTTTAAACAAAAAACAACGATGAAAAAGTTGGAGTTAATGATGGAAGATTACATAGAAAAATAATTTACATTAAGACCTCTCACGGAGAAATAATTTCCCAAACTCAAACAAGTAGTATTCACGCCAGTACTCAAGCTGCATTTATATTAACACAAATATCTACATCAATTCCTCAACACATAATTACATCCAAATTTGCATAAATTCAATTAACAAAAAGTATAACTATATATTACTAAGTATACTGCACATACCTTTACTTCATATTCGCCATTCTGCAAATACACAAATAAAATAGTGTTATTTAATGAGAGAACCATCCTCATGATATATGAACATTCAATAAAGGCAAAACTGCATAGTTAAAGAATACAAAACAACAGTTGACGGATGTGATCAAAGTCAAGCAAAGTAAATTCGAAGAGTATAAATTCATTTGGACCGTCAGGAATCGAACTCGAGTCTATAAAACAGAACGTCGTTGCTATACCTAGAAGCGCAGGAAGCTCCATATTTTGAAGTACCCGTTAAAACTGCTACCCAAACATTAGTTTTAAACTTTCCCTAGTTTATATAATATATATATATATATATATATATATATATATATATATATATATATATATATATAATATATATATATCATTGAGAATAGTCGAGGACGGACCGAAACTTCGTCGTCCCTTCACTGTCTAGTGTGTGGTTTTGTCAACATGTCAGCATATCATTGTAACTCTTCAACCCTTCACAGGATTCGAACCTAGGCCGCCAGGGGTCTCCCCATACACAACGGTATCACTAGTTCAGTGGTCATTTTAATGAAACCCAGACCCTACATAATTTGTGTCACATTTGAGCCATACACATGTTGTGTTATTTTTGACACGAAACGTGTAAGAACATTGCATATGTATCCAGGTAGCGTTACAGCTCAACATCAAGGTCCCTAAATGGTCACTAGCTGCCCCCATTCACCTGTCTATCTAGGTGAGCATTAGTTCCCTTTAATTAGCACCTATTGTCATGGGTGATGTACGGACTCAGGTGGCCTCATCCAGCAAGTCTCGGGATCCAGAAGCCGACACAAGTGAAGGAGTGGCACCTTCGAAAACATAAATATTTGGGTTAATAGCCTTCCGATAAGGCTTTTGCAGGTTGTAGGATTTTCGTGGGATAATTGATACAATTATTTCAAGTTACGGCTACTGTGAGAGATAAAGAGTGATGTTTACAAGACTGGAGGCTTGCTGGACAAAAAGGTCTCTTTTGTAAACAAGTTTCTTGCCACTGGGGTCCCAGCGCTCCCTGTGTGAAACATGAATAATGGCCTTCATTTGTACACGCTTCTGGGGCACGTTTGGTTCCTTTCAGCCTCAATACATTCAATGTAGCGGCTAAGTATGAAATATTACACATCACAAAGGTGTTTTGATAGAGATTTTAATACCCTTTCAATAGGTTTGGATCCTCATGGAATCACAATTACCTACCATGACTGGACTGGTTTCAGGCATTTATGATTTGGCATTGCCATCTTTTTTTTTCACCATTGTTCATTAGGCAAAGTCATATAAAACAGGAACCTCTTAACGAACCTCAAATTTATTAAGGCCAATGAAGAAATATTAGTT